CCCCCCCCCTTCCTTCTTTAAGTTTTATAAGAGTTTATTTGAGCCAAGTTTTTGAGGACGTGCCCAGAAGCAAGATCTCAACAGAGTGAGAAAATGCTCTAGGGAATGACAGTTTTGAGTCCCTTTTAACATTTAAAATCAAAGGAGAAAACATAAGGAAGGTACATGAGATAAATCCACTAGTGGTGGATTAAGGAGGCAGGAGAAAGCAAAGTGGAGAAACCTCTAGAATTGGATAAAAAGGAAAATGGAGAAATACTTCTTTTATATCGGCAGGTACAGGGTAGTTATTAACATCTACAACATAGACGTGGTATGCAGGGAACAAGGTGACAATGAGGGGTTCTGTGGTCCGGTGCTGTGGTGGTCTTAAGCTCTGGTGCCTGCAGTTGTGCCTTCAAAAGACCTAGAAAAGAAAATTACTCTAACATTTCAAAGGTAAGTTATCTTAGATGTAGGGAAGTTTCTCTTCACAGGTCTTCTAGCTCACTGATCTTTCCTCAGGCATGCCCAGTCTAATGATGAGCCCATCAAAAGCATCTCCATTTCTATTAGCGTATTTTTTTAGTTCTGGTATCATCTTTTAATCCTTAGAGTTTTGATCTCTCTGCTTACATTACCCATCTGCTCTTGAATGTTGTCTACTTTTTTCATTAGAGCCCTTAGCAAATCAGTTGTTTTAAATTCCTGGTCTGATAATTCCAACATCCCTGTCATAGTTTCATCTGATTCTGATGCTCGATTTGTCCCTCCAAGTTGTGTTTTCTCCTGCTTTGTATCATGCTTGTCATTTTTTGGTTTAAAGCCAGGCATGATTTATCAGGCCATAGGAACTGAGGTAATTTAGGCTTTAGTACAAGGTTTGATGTTAATGTGTAGGAGCTATGCTGCACTTAGTGTTTGCTGTAGCTGTAAGTGGCAGTCTTCTGTTTCCTCCATTTTCCTTGTGTTGTTTCCCTAAGAAATATGTCTTAAAAGGTCTGTCTTGCAGCTCTCAGTCATAATCCACTGATTATACTGTTGCCCTGGTGGTAGGGTATTTGGGAAGTATTCCATCTTATGATTTTATCTCTATTTTTTATTTGGCTTGAGTCCCTAGGCTGTGACCTTCAAAAGTGTTAGCCTTTTTCCCCCTCCTCTTGATATGATACAGGAAAGCTAAAGGGGCCTGGACAAGTCTAACTGCCTTTTCCCCAGGTCGCATGAGACTGTGAGAAAGTAGTTTCCCTTAGAGGGCAGGTTTTTATCATGGAAAATGATCTGAGTGTATTTCAAAATAGTATCTCCTCCCCTGCCCCATCTGAAACACAAAGGGATCCCTGATCATCATGAGAACTCGGTAGGGTTCCTGAGGGTAAATTCTAGAGTGTCGTGATTTCTCTAAAAGTGGGCACTCCAGGGGTTTTTAACTGTCAAGCTAGTCCACACTGAGCCTCCAGTAATTTGTCGGTTACCATTTCACAGTTCACATTAGTTACTGGCTCACAGATTCTGTTCCTAGAAAGCTCATCTCTGCTGTGACTCTATTTGCCTGTGTCTCCAGGTTTTGGAGTGGTGGTTTGCTCTGTGACTTCAATTCTCTTGTGTATCTAAGAAAAGCCATTGATTTGCAGCCTGCCCAGCTTTTTTCTTATTGTGAGAATGAAGTGATGACTTCCAAACTCTTTTGCATGTTGGAGCTGAAACTGATCATCCCCCACAAACTTTTTCGAACCTCCTTTCCCCATTTTCTCTATAAAGCTAGGCTGAAATAATCCCCTCTGAGGAGCCTTCCCTGATTTTCTCTGCTAAATGAAAAGTTCCTGCCCAGCCAGTGTGGCTCAGTTGGTTGAGCACTGTCCCCTACACCAGGTCACCAGTTGGATTCTCAGTTGGGGCACAGGCCCGGGTTGTGGGCTCGATCCCTGGCAGGGTTTGTGCAGGAGACAGCCAATCAATTACTCTCATCATTGATGTTTCTATCTCGCTCTCCCTCTCCCTGAAATCAATAAAAACATTTTTAATTAAAATATAAGTAAATAAATGAAAAGCTCCTCTCTGTGTGCTCCAGTACTTGGTACAACTATAAGTATTACACTTATTATCTATTGGCTCTGACTGTGAATGCCTGGAGAAGAGGCACTATGGCTTATCTTTATATTTCTAATATATGGTATAATTATCTGCTTAATTGAAAGGAAAAAGGAAAAAAAACACTGTCCACTAATTAAAAACAAAGTACTACTTTTATTTGGCTCACTTCTCCATTTATTAGAATAACCACACCTGGAGAGGCACAAAGCACTTAAGTTTTACATGACTACAAAGTTATCACAAATCCCAAACTTCTTAGCAACAGATATTTCACTTACTCTGTTTAAAGAAAAAGCTTTCAAAACTTCTGAGTTAGCTTGATACAGAGACCCTGAATATATGGGAACTACATGTTTTTAAATGCTTGTACTTCCTGCTCTAAGAATGTCTTCTTTAAATGGAATCCAGCATAAAAGGGATTGAAATATATAAGGTCATGATGCAAACGCTTTGGAGACAGTGAAATTAATCTGTACAACATGGGAAAAGATGTAGTGTGCACAGAAGTTCTTCAAGGAGTCACTGAGCCATCTGGGCTTCCATGGCTTGTGCTGTCCATTCTGGTGCCGTCTGACTAATTTTCTCCAAAAGGTTATTCACTTGGAAACAAAGGGATTGGATCTGTTTGTCCCATGTCGGCAGGGCTTCTCGTGCTAAAGAAAAAGAAATAATGTGGAAGTTGAAATTACTCTTCTGTATTCACAGTAAATGTAAGCTAAGAGATAAACACAGAAGTATTAATTTTTAAAAGTTTACTCCAAAATCCTGTCTAATAAAATTAAGAAAAGCACCTAAATCACTGGCACAAAGTATAAAACAAATAAAAAAGACATGTACACACAGATTATTATTTGTGGAAACAAAATAAAACCAAACAAACAACCTCAACCACAGCTACCATAAGACAGAAGACACTGCCATCTGCTGGGGAAAGTAAATCTATTTCAGGATGTCCCCCAAAAATGTATACACACTTTAACAGCTGATAGCTCAATTTTGAAAATGAAATCTATTTTTTTTTCCTCTTTTATAAAGTCAGGATAATACCCCATGTCTTTTTTTTTTTTTTTTTAATATATCTTTATTGTTTTCAGAGAGAGGAAGGGAGAGGGAGCGAGACAGAAACATCAATGATGAGAGAGTCACTGATCAGATGGAGCCCGAAACCCGGGCATGTGCCCTGACCGGGAATCAAACCTTGATCTCCTGGATCATAGGTCAATGCTCAACCACTGAGCCAAGCCAGCCAGGCAAAAATGAAATGTATTTTAATAAATACTGTCTTTATAATTATTCAAGGTATGTATACATTTTTGGGGGATACCCTACATATTCAGAGCTGTCTCAACTTGACTCTGATGGATAAATATTTAAGCCCAAAATAAACAAACAAAAAAATCCAGCAGGTTTTTCTCTGTACAAGCAATATGCAGTTAGAAATGAAAAATTAGGGGAGGAGGGATCCCATTTAAAATAGCACTTTATAAGAAATGGGCACAGAATTAATGAAGAAAAAAACTATAAATCTTCATAAAGAACATAAAATAACTCATTACTTTGTCAGTGCTTTGCTGATATGTAAATTTAAAGAAATTACAAAAATGATCTCCTTTTCCTTTGTTTTACTTTCTAAACAGGACAAAATTGTAATTTTGAAAATAAAAAACAGTGGCAGGATTGTGGCATACCTATACCATGCAGTATTATTCAGCCTTAAAATGGGATGACCTACTGACTACACGCTACAATGTGAATGAAACCTGGAAACATCGTGTTAAGTGAGAGAAGCCAAAGGGTCACACACATATTGTATTATTCCATTTAAAGAAACATCCAGAATCAGTAAATCCATAGAGACAGAATACAGACTAGTGGCCACCACGGGCTGGGGAGAGAAGGAATGAGGAGGAACTCCTAAACGGCCAAGAGATTTCCTTTTCGGGAGGTGAAAATGTTTTGGAACTAGGTAGAGATGGTAGTTAATCTGACATTTTACTTAATAAATGATACTTGTATAATTGGCAATTGATCTTTTAAAAAACAACTAGACCATAGCTTTAAATTATACATAAAACTGAGCTGTAGACAGATTAAATTTCTAAATATAAAATAAATAAAAATATTGGAAGAATTTTAGGAAAATATTGGTTTTACCCCAAGGTTTAGAAGACCTTCTTAATCAATACAGGAAACTCAAAAGCCATAAAATTAAAAATGGACATATTTGGCTGCAAAAAAATTTTTTAATGTGTTTCTGTTATGTATTGCCTTACAGAAACACAACTGACAGAACAGGAAAAGTATCTGTAACACATATAGCAAACACAAAGTTAAAATTATCATTAAACCAAAAGCTACAGCAAAATTATACTTGGAACGGTGTGGGAGGAAGGAAGAAAATAGGAGAAAAAATGCTAATGGCCAATATATGGAACGATATTAAACTTCACTAGTGCCAAGGGAATGTACAATATAACAATACTGTAGTACTTTCCCCCACCAATTTGCGAAACAGAAGAGGAACAATATCTAGCTGTTGAAGATTTCATTCTCTCATATTGGTGGACATGTAAATGACAACATCATTCTGGAAGGCAAGCTAACAGCACAGCTATTAAGAATCAATATACATAGATCCTTTGATGCAACAAAGGATGCAACTTTTTAAACTGTTCTATAAAACTAAGTGTACCAGCATATAAAGGTATGCACACAAAAAACAAGTGAATGTCCCTCAACAGATGAGTAGTTAAACTCCATGAAATACTATACAGATATTAAAACAAATAAATTAAATTTATATCTACTGACTTAAAAATATGTCCAAGGTACATTAACTTTTAAAAACAATTTGCAGAACACTATGTACTTTAAAATACAATGTTACACTCTTAAAATTCTGTTTTTACTTATCTGTGTAAGGGTATATAGAAAGACACAAGATTGTAGACTAATATTAGTTATGCCAGGGAGCTGAAATTACAGAAATGGAAGTGAAAGTGAAAATATATTATGAACTCACCCGGCCAGTGTGGCTCAGGGTTGAGCATCGACCTAGGATCCAGGAGATCTCGGTTCAATTCCGTCAGGGCATATGCCCAGGTTCCAAGCTCGATCCCCAGTAGGGAGCGTGCAGGAGGCAGCCGATCAAGGACTCTCATCATTGATGTTTCTCTCTCTCCCTCTCCCTTCCTCTCTCTAAAGTCAATAATGACATGTTTAAAAAATATTTATACACACACACATATATATAAAATGAACTCTTCCTTTCTTTATTTTTATAATGCTTTGCTTGTAATTGTGAACATATCTATCAGTGTAATTTTTAATCTAAGAAAACCAGGCAAATACTCCACACTCTAACAAGTTGGTATACACTAATTTAGCTGTCCTCTCGCTGGCTGGCTGGCTGGCTAGCTGGCTGGCGAGACTGGTTATGTAGAGAGCGGTGAATGTTTCAAAGTGACGTGGGGAATTCACGATGCTGGGAAAACAAAAGGACCTGCATGGTTGGGCTGGAAAGAGAAAGCTATGAAGAAAATCATGTAGGACCCTTTAGAGACTTTGTAGAACTTTGTTATATAAGCAATGGGAAGCCATTCGTTAGTGTCAAGGAAGAGAGTAACATAATTTAACAATTTTTTTCTTCCTTTTTTCTGTTTGTTTGCATTTTTGAAAGATCACAGCTCTCTTCTCTCTTCTTTCTCTTCCTCTTCCCTCCTCTCCTCTCCTTTCCTCTCACTCTGCTCATTAAAAAAGAAAGATCTCAATCACTCTGGCCATACTAGGGCAACTGGACTAGAAAGGATCAATTATAGATATGAGAAAAAAAGTTAAGAGCTATTTCTCAAGCCCAAAAGAGGTTATGCTGGTTCAGAGTAAGCTGGTGACAATAGAAATGAAGGAGTATGTGGATTCCAGATACACCTAGGAGGTAAAATTGAAAGGATTCTGGGCAGCAAAAGAGAGGAAAGATCAAGGATAAAGAATGCTGGAGAAAGTGAACAATGAGGTTTGGCTGTTGAGGGAGGCAGGCAGAGAGGGGAGATAATGAACTCAGTTTGGGCTGTATTATTCTGAGATGCCCGTGATGCATCAGAAGAGAAACGCCTATGTAATCAATTAAAAACACTGTGTCTGGGACTCAAAAGAGAGATTTATCCTAGAAAAATATATGTAGCCCTGGCCAGTGTGGCTCACTTGGTTGGAGCGTCATACTGTATACTGAAAGGTTGCGGGTTCAATTCCTGGTCAGTCAGGACATGTACAGAAGGCAACCAACTGATGTGCTCTCTCACATAAATGTTTCTCTCTCTCTCTTCCCCTCTCTCTAAAATCAGTAAGCACCCGGCCGGGAATGGCTCAGCAGTTGAGCCTCGACCTAGGATCCACGCGATCAGGGTTCGATTCCCGGTCAGGGCACATGCCCTGGTTGTGGGCTTGATCAATGACTCTCTCATCATTGATATTTCTATCTCTCTCTCCCTCTTCTTTCCTCTCTCTGAAGTCAATAAAGATAAGTTTAAAAAAATAATAAAATAAAATCAATAAGCATATCCCCAGGTGAGGATTAAAAAATTTAAAAATAGATAAAAAGAACATTCAAACCATATGATGGGTCAGGAAAAAGAATCTTTTTTTGTTAAAAAGAAAGAAAAGTATACGTAAGTATTGCCTGCATAAAGACGGTAACTGAATCCATGGGAATAGATAAGATTGCCTAGGAAAACAGTAGAGTGAGGAGGAAAGGCCTAGAAGTCAGCCCCAAGAGCCCCAAAATGTAAGTTTAAAGGCACTAAATAACCTACAAAGATGACTAGGATGAATACCTGGAGAAGCAGAAAAGAAAGCAGGAGAATGAGGTGCAGGAGATGAGAGTCAAGATGACAGGGATAGGGAGGGAGATATCAAAAAGGAGTAAAAGATCCACCCTATTTGATATGTTGAAAAGTCAAAGAGGCCCGAAAGGTAAAAGGATTTTTGTTAAAATGGGAGAGACCCAAGTATGTTTAAAATAAACAAAAAGAAGTCAACAGAAAGAAAAGATGAAAACAGAAAAAATAACTAAGCTCAGGTTCCTAAAAATTTGGGGTTGGGGAAGTAGTGGCAGAGGTCAGAGAAGGGATCCAAAGCACAAGTGGAAGAACTGGAGAGGGAAACAGAAACCATCTCCAGTATAACATGAAGGAAGAAAAAGACAGAATTAGATATATATTTAACATTTATAAGTTTATGAATCTTATGAATCTGATAAAAAAGTTAAGATAATTTCACACTGATAGCTTTTTTCCTGTGAAATAGGAAACAAGGTCCTCTGCTGAATCAGAAGGAGAAAAGTCAGAGATTTAAGAAAAATGAAATCTAGAATAATCATTGCAAAGTAAGAAAAAGAGTAGACTAAAGAAATACATCAAGACTCCCAGGTAGTGTTGAGGACACATGACCTTGAATCTGCAGTGGTGTTCAGTTTGTCTGGTGCTCTGACTCTTCTCCAACAGTTAGCTAAGTATAGGCTTAGTATGGGAAAGATGGAGAATGGGTTCATTCAAGGTGAAGTTTTGCTGGACAGCTAGGACAAAAAGTTAGCAAACAAGCATTCTGGGGCCTCTGTAAAAGAGTAATGAAATTATGAGTCATAGAATCTAAGTTGGATAGAAAGAGCATTAAAGACAAAAACGGGCTGGGCTGACTGGAAAAGGTTAAAGAGTCAACAGATGAGAGGTTTCAATGTAGTCAAAGAAGAGTTGAAGTGGAAGTAATTGAGACAGACCACCAGAAAGACAGGAAAATGGTTATGGTCAGAGTGGGATATTGTAAACTAAAATTTTACAAGTGGAATGGTTCTGGGCACAGCAAGGTCCACAGTGTAAATGAGGTAGAAATAGGGGCTGAGGTGGTATGAGACAATGAGATCTACCTACCTGCCTGCCTCCATTATTCTAATGAATAGGAAATGTAACTGTCATTTCTGCATGCCCGCTACGTGATATGTGTTCAAAGAATGTTTGATGAGTAAATGAACAAACTGATGACAGTTCCAGTTTCAAATTTTTCCACAGCATAGAAAATGTTGCATGAAGTAGATCCATAAATATACATTCACAAAAAAATATTTTTTAGATTATTTCTTTGCAAAATAAGCCTTTTCCAGTAGTAAGATTTTAGGTTTTAGGTCAAAGGAAATTGTTCAACATGTTTTAATCATAAATATACAACACCTCACTGACATTTCATTATGAAAGAAACAAGCAAAACTTCTTACTTTCAAAATGAACTATTCCATCAATCTGATCAATAAATCCATTCATACGTCCTTCAGTTATCATTTGCGATGCTATCTTTTCTGCCTGTTCAAATAAAAATAATAATAAATTCTCAGACACTTTAATTATCATACCTAACACATTCACATATGATAAGTCGATTGAAAGCTCTTGGTTTAGGTACTCATCACTAAGTTTACAAATGTGTTTCTCTGCCATTCATTGTAAGAATAAACCTTGTAAATCTTCCTATTATATCGCTCCAGTTCTTTCTGGGTACAATCCATTATTTTACATTAAATGGGACCTATTTTGCTTATGAGATTTTGGACAAGAATCTAGCCCTCTTACCAACTTTTATCTCTGCTTAAAATCAAACAATTTTTTTTCCCAATGGGATCCACACCTCAAAAAAAACCCCACTTTTTTTTCATTTTATTTCCTTTCAATTTCACAGTGTTTATCACCCAAAAACTCTTTAAGGAAGTACTATTTTTGAAGACAAAAAGGGAAAGGAGAAATAGATGTTCAAAGTTAAAAGAGAACTGAAAGGACTTAAAAAACAAAGGGGGCCTGGCAGGGTATGGCTCAGCGGTTGAGCATTGACCTAGGATCCAGGAGATCACAGTTCAATCCCAATCAGGGCACATGCCTGGGCTATGGGCTTGATCCCCAGCTGAGGGCGTGCAGGAGGCAGTCGATCAATGACTCTCTCATCATTGATGTTTCTATCTTTCTCTCTCCCCCTCCCTTCCTCTCTCTGAAATCAATGAAGATATATTAAAAAAAAAAGGAACAAAAGGTCCTCTACCTAGCTCCTAAAGACATGTTTCACGTTTACTATGTGTAAGCAAACTGGGTTGTGACTCAGTTATTTTAATAAATCTGACCACCTTTATAATCAATCGTAAATCTTCTAAACAGACTGTGACTATCATTTACTGTTAAAAATATATTCATTTCTCTTAGTCTCATAAAGGGATCATACCTCAAAGCCTAAGAGGAAAGCATCTTTTAATAGTAACTGAGCCTTGATTCCCAAATTGTTCCACTTCCTTTAATGTGTATTGAATGTCTACATGTAAAGGAATTGTGTTAGAAAAACCTAACTTAAAATTGCACTAACACATAAAAGAAGATGTGACTCATAAGTACATGACTAAGTTTTGCAAGTTAATAAAGCAAGGTTAATTGCTTGCTTTTACTATTATTTAAAATTAAGACGATGTTTTGTAAATGATACCTGAAATACTCTCTAAATAGTATTGGTACTTTGTTGGGATTTATACATAGCCACTAAACCCTTATCATGACAAAGAATGAAATTAATTCCCTAATAACTCAGTCAACTTCTTAAGTTAAATCAAGAACAGAGGTTACAATAGAATAGACTGGAATATTATCATAGTCATTCTTTCAAAAAGAAGAAACATTTAACCTTTGAGTCAATTTAGGGAAGAAAATAGAAGTAATAAGGCATCTATCAAAATCTTAAGTTAGTCAGAAATCAGAACCCACTATGAAATGGATTTAAACAGACTCTAAGCAAAGATATTCTCACAAACTGGGTATCATAACCTGGAAACCCTTTAAGATTTCCATTCTAGGTCACTTTATCATAAAACACAAACCAAAAAAAAGGCAATTCCATTACAGTACTATTTTAATATTCAAATAATTTATTTCCATTTACCTGAGACTTTTTATGTGTGTTTTTGTTGTAGTTGCCAATATTTATCAATTACATATTTTATTTTCTCATTACATCAATAGTTTAGTCTTTTAACTTCCTTTTTATGTATTGGAAACAAGAAAATACCTTAGCTGCAGGGATCTCTAAAAGAGCTCCAAGTTCTTCAAAGGTAATATTATTATATAATTTGCTTGCAGACAACAAATTGTGTTCAATAACAGCTCTGTCCAAGATACTAGAACCTTAAATAAATATAAATAAGACAGTTATAAGCTTGAAACTAGTTCTGCACTCTTAAAAGACACAGCCTTTTTTTCTGAAAATTTCTCAGCATGTAATAACTCATAATCATTGTCTTTATTTCCATCAAAACTTTAAAAGTAACCTAAATACGTATTTGATACAACTTGAATAATATATAATTAAATACAAATAACACATTTGGAAAATGAGTGATTGGCAAGTAATCACTAACTAGCTGAACGGATTTAACCCTTCAGGTTTGAGGGTTTGCTTCATTAGGCTAGCTAGCAGATTCATAACTTAACTCTTCTTGCTATAAGCTAACTTTTATTAGCAAGCAGTAGCAAAACAATCATGCAACCTGTTCTGCAGGCTTAATAACGTCAATACACACAGCTCAACAGAAATCTTTCTATTCTTTTGGACACTCCACAAGCACCTTATTCTGAGGCATATGTGAAAAATGTCAAGACTATAGGAACAAGCTAACCCTTCATGAGAGATAAAGCATAGCATCTTCTCTTAAATAAGATAATACAGGGCCTGACGAAGTTCTGGACCTAAGGCCCCACCCTGAAGGTGTTAGACTGCTAGGCCCACTCAATTCTTTTTTTCTTTCCAGTTTTATTGAGATATAATTGACAGATAACATTGTATTAGCTTAAGTGATATATGAGTTGATATATGTATATATTACAAAGTGATTACCACAATAAGTTTTGATAAGATCCATCACTTCACATAGTTACAAATATTGTTTCTTCTGATAAGAATTTTAAAAATCTATTCTCTTAGCAACCTTCAAATACAAAGACCTAAATAGATGGGAAAATATGAAAGAGGTAATATTGTTAAGATATCTATACTCCTCAAATTGATCTACAGAGTCACTGTAATTCCTATCAAAATCCCACCTGGCATCTTAGCAAAAATTGACATGCTGATCTTAAAATTCACATGGAAATTCAAGGGATCAAGCAGAGCCAAAACAATCCTCAAAAAGAACCAAGTTGGAGGACTCACGCTGCCCAATTTTAAAACTTACTACAAAGATATAGCATCCAAGACAGTGTGGTACTAGCATGAGCACAGGCATAGGGAATAGTGGAATAGAATTTGGAGTCCAGAAATAAATTCTCACATTTAGGGTCCACTGATTGTCAACAAGTATTGCTAAGACAATTCAATGTGAAAATTAGTCTTTTCACAAATGGCGCTGCAACAACTGGATATCCATATAAAGTAAGACCCCTATCTTATACCATGTACAAAAATTAACTCAAAATTAATCAAAGACCTAAATGTAAGAGCTACAACTATAGAACTTATAGAAGAAAACAGAGAAATCTTTATGATCTTGGATTAGGCAATGGTTTCTTACATGCAACACTGAAAGCACAAGCAACAGAAGGGGGGGGCGGATTTAACTTCATCAAAATTGAAAAATTTTGGCCCAGCCAGCATTACTCAGCAGCTGAGCATCAACCTAGGATCCAGGAGATAGCGGTTCAATTCCCAGTCAGGGCACATGCCAGGGTTGAGGGCTGAATCCTCAGTGGGGGGAGTGCAGGAGGTAGCCAATCAATGACTCTCTCATCATTGATGTTTCTATCTCTCTCCCCCTCTCCTTTCCTCTCTCCGAAATCAATAAAGACATATTAAAAAAAACGAAACTGAAATCTTTTGTATTTCAAAAGGCACTATCAAAAAAGTAAACAAACAAAAAAAAGTGAAGAAACAACACACAGAATGAGAGAATTACAAATCATTTAACTGATAAGGATCAGATCTAGACTATATAAAGAATTCTTACAATTCAAAAATAAAAAGATAACCCAATTTAAAAAGAGGCAAATAATCTGAATAGGCATTTCTCTAAAGATATGCAAATGGTTGGTCACCTGGCTTGAGTGGCTCAGTTGGTTTAGCGTCATCCTGCGCAATGAAAGGTTACCAGTTCAATTCCTGGTCAGGGCACATACCTGGGATGCAGGTTCGGTCCCCAGTTGGGACACATATGGAAGGCAACTGATAGATGTTTCTCTCTCGCATTAATGTCTCTCTCTCTCTCTCTCTCTCTCAGCATGTCCTTGGGTGAGGATTAAAAAAATAAATAAGATATACATATGGCCAATAAACACACAAAAAGTACTTAACACCATTAGCCCTCAAGGAAATGCAAATTAATACCAATTCATATCCAGTAGGATGGGTACATCAAAAACACAGATAATAACAAGTGTGGAAGAAAATACAAAAAAACTGAAACCCCCACAAACAGCTGGCAGGAACGTAAAATGGAGCAGCACTTTGAAAAACAGCTCCTCAAAAGACTGAACAGAATCACCATGATCCCTAACTCCACTCCTAGGTATATACCCAAGAAAATTAAAAACATATGTTCATACAAAGACTTTTACATGGATATTCATAGCAGCATTATTAATAGCCAAAAAGTAAAAAATAACCGAAATATCTATCAACTGATGAAGAAATAAAATGTGGTACACTCATATAATAAAATATTACTTGGCAATAAAAGAGAATGAAGTACTGATAGATGCAACATGGATGAACCTTGAAAACATCATGCTAAATGAAAGAAGTCAGTCACAAAAGGCCATATATTAAATGATTCCATTTACATGAAATATCCAGAACAGGCAAATCTATAGAGCAGAAAGTAGATTAATAGTAACTTTCTACAACTCTGGGAATATATTATGTCTCAAGATTGCTAGCCTAAACTAATACAAAAGATTGCTAGCCTGGGGTTGTAATGACAGTAAACAAAAATGTCCAAGAAAAATAAACAAGAAGGCAATCGGATCTAAAATGAAAGAGGAAGACGACAAAACATCTGTCCTATCTATACAGTCCCATGTGACAAACTTGAGAATCACTTTCATTCTCACAAATCCCTCTTTTTTAAAAAAAATCATCTAACTGGTATCTTTTATTTTTTTCATGGTTAGAAAGCTCAAAGTCAAATCTGAAGCTCAACTATATCAATTATGGGAACTTTTTCTTATCTAGCTCTTAAGTTGTTTGTCAGAGATATCTTGCAAAAAGAATTTAAATCTGCTCAGAAGAATGCACAGAAGATAATTTAAAAGTAAAAAAGAGGTGATGAGCACACAATGCAATATACAAATGATGTATTATAATATTGTACACTTGAAACTTATCTTATTAACCAATGTCACTCCAATAAATTTAATTTTTAAAAAAGTAAAAGAAAAACAAGAGTATTAACAATCAAAACACACACTATTTACAGGTGGACTACAAATTTAAGTTTAAGCTTTCTCGCAGCCAACCAACCAATTTATCAACACACAGTGTCTTTAAATAAGACAAAAGCCAACTGCTCAGGAGAATCGCAACTAATCCTAAGACTGAAAAGGAATTTTTCCTCAGGATCTGCATAAAGAATATACTATAGAAAAAACATCTCCTTTAGACAGAAAGATAAGAATCAACTGGTTTCCTTCTTAAAGTGCAATTAAATGAAAGAAATTCAATAGAAGGTCAATCTAATCCCTTCATTGATCTGATTTAACTCAGGGAAGTAAGACTTGGTAAAGTGTATACTTTTCAGCCAAATCCTACATAAATGACTCTTTTTAAAAAAAAAATAAAGTAGCACCCTAGCCGGTTTGACTCAGTGGTTAAAGCATCAGCCCAAAGACTAAAGGGCCCCAGGTTCGATTGCGGTCAAGGGCACGTACCTAGGTTGCAGGCTCCATCCCTGGCCCTGGCCTTGTACGGGAGGCAACCGATGAATGTGTCTCTCTCACATCGATGTTTCTCTCTCTCTCTTGTTCACTCTCTCTGAAAAAGCAATGGAAAAATGATCCTTGGGTGAGGATTAAAAAGTAATAATAAAAAATAAAGTAGCAAATTATTTTCTTTTAAAAAAAATTTTTACTTATTGATTTTAGAGAGAAAGAGGAAGGGAGAGAGGAAGGGAGGGGGAGAGCGAGAGAGACAAACCTCAATTTGTTGTTTCGCTTATTTATGTAGTCATTGATTGCTTCCTGTATGTGCCCTGACAGGGATTGCACCCGTAACCCTGGTGTATCGGGACGAAGCTCTAACCCACTGAGCTACCAGGCCAGGGCTCATAAATGGCTCCTTATAATACAGCTAAATTCTCTTCAACAGGATGAGAATAAATTCAAAGTAGTGAGTCTAACAGGTCTGCATGTTTATTTGAACCTTTTCCACATTTCTGATGATCTCCGTCTACATTTTCATCATGTGTGTTATTGTTATAAGCTACTTTAAAACCTGTAAAATAACTCTTATTATGAACAAGCATCTATTAAAAATTTCTTTCCTGGCAAAGGCAGTCTGACTTAAGCAAATACATCCCTTAACTAGGACACATGACACCAAGTTCTATTCTTATTGGCAACAATTTTACCCTGAATAACCTTGGGCAAGCATCTGTGCCAAATTTTGTTATAACTAAAATTAGACTTGATAATTATTAAACAAACTAATGTTTAAGGCTAATTTAGGTACTTATCAAATGGCTTGAATTTTTAAAAATCAGGAACTATAAGCCTAGTCTATAATTCTTCTTCCCTTACAGTTTCCCAAAAATGAGTAATTCCACAAAACACTTTCCAACAGGGCTATTTTTATACTTCCAACCCCTACTTGTGTATGATACTCATCTTCAGTCAATATTCTTTTTAAATCAAGTCTTATATAAAAATTTTAAGGAAGATATCAAGATGCTTCAAATTTAACATACTTTCCACTAGCATGTACCTAAGTATTCACTACCACATTCTTGTAAGACATGATCATTACCATCAGCTGTAGTTGCTTTTTGGTGAGGCATCAGCATGGCAGCAAATTCTTGAAGTTGATTTCCTCTGATGATCCTATCCAGGTACATTTTCTCTAGGATCCCATAAGCAGCAAGTTGCTGGCACCTTTCATCCTTAAAAAGAGTAGCTAGCATGCGAGAACGCTGTTGTCCTAAGGAAAACAAATGTGCATCAAATATTCTAACAATCTATTTCATCAATGAAAAACAATTTTTCTTACGACCCCAGTCAACTGTCATTATCTGTGGTAGTTATGTTTTATAAAGTTGCTGCCAACACTAAGTTAGGGAATCCTCAACTGCTGTTTCTAGGGGAAATACAGGGTTAGGTTCCTGTGAGCCGCTGGTCACACAACATTTTTATTAGCTAATCAACATGTAACCTCTGTTTTATGTGTGTTTCTGTTTAAAAGCACCTCATTTAATATATGCTGTTGATTCATCAACACTGAACTCATGGGCTATACTATAAGTCATGCCTGAATGAAGCTTATCTAATACACATATTTTCTCTATCAGACACAGCACAGACTTCCTTCACTTAAGAACACAAGACAATACTTCAGTACTACGCTTAGAGCCCAGTTTAAACATCAAAATCACCATCAAAAAGCACAAAAATGTGAAAAACATAATATTAACATACCACAGAAAGGAACTTGTTTACAGTACGAGAGCAGAAACAAGGAGGCAGAGCACTGCCTTATTTAACCCCAGCTGGATACATACATATTTTGCTGTTCTGCACATGTCTGCAAATGACTGTGAAAGTACCATGAGTATTGATTTTGGGGTCACAAATAAATTTTAGCAGGTAGGCAAACTCACAAATATGGAACACCGAGAAACAACAGTATATTCATTTGTGAAGATTAGGACATACACCCAAATGCTACAAGTGGTCCAAATTATAGCTAATTGTTATTTTCTTCTTGCTTATTTGTATTTCTACAACAAACATGCATTCCTTTAGTAATAATTAAAAAATTTATAAAAGATGAACAAATATTTCTCTGATGACAAATTTATACTTTCAAGGATATTTAAATGTTGAAAAATTACATGACAACTGATAACATTAAAAAATTGAACTAACAGAAAGAATACTATGAAGAAACTTTATCTTTTTAAATGTATTTAACTCTGTATTCTAAAGAACCTAAACACAATGACACCAAGTAGCAATGAGCACACCTAGCACCCTGACCTTGGTATCCCCATTAGAAAAAATTAGGGGTCCTTGAAAAATAGCTGATTTCAGGTCTGGTGGTAGGAAAAAATACAAGTCAAGTCTAAGGCTTCTTTTTATGCTGCAATGCAAGCAAGTATTCAAAGATTAATGGGGCCATGTCAAAAAGACATGATTTGGTCATATTTTTGATAATTTGAACATCAAAAAGAACAATAACTATAATAATCACACACTGGATAAATAAAAAACAAAGTAAAACATACAAGAATGTTCATAGCAGTACTGTTTCTAATAGCCAATAAGAAACTACCCAAAGACAATAGGATTAAAAAATGGTGGTATATTCACACAATGGAATATCACATAACAATGAAAATGAAGCAACTATACGTAACAATGTGGATAAATTTCATAAAATTAAGCAAAAGAAGCAAAATTGAGTATGCATACCGTGATTCATTTATATAAATATAAGAAGCAGGTAAAACTAATATATACTAATGATTACTCTTGGGGTTGGGAGTGGGACTACTGGCTAGGAGAAAACACGACAGGCTTTCAGGATGCTAGTAATATTTTGTTTCTTGTTCTGGATGCTGATTACATGGTGGTGCTCATTTGGGACAATTCATCACGCTGTACACTTTTGATACATGTACTTTTCTGTGTGTATATTATACACACACACAAAAAAGCAGAAAAAACAGTCTATAGTAATACTAAAAAAAAAGGAGGAAAATAAAAAGGAAAGCTTTTACATAGTAGTAGCTAATAAATGCAGAACAAAATTAGTAAATCACCATTTTTCACTTTCACTTTATATTATACAATATAATGACTGGTCCAGGCGAGAATTACTAATAGATAATAAATTATCAAAAGGAATATGTGAACCCAGCCAGAGTGGCTCAGCGGCTGAGCACTGACCTATGGTACAGGAGATAGAAGTTCGATTCCCAGTCAGGGCACATGCCCGGGTTGTGGACTCGATCCCCAGCAGGGGGCATGCAGGAGGCATGCAGGAGGCAGTCGATCAATGACTCCTCTAATCAGTGATGTTTCTCTCTCTCTCTCTCCCTCCCTTCCTCTCTCCGAAATCAATAAAAACATAAAATAAAAAAAGAAATATGTGAAAAGAAGTTAGGGAATAGGATTTTTGAAGTGTCAAAGCAGCACCCCAGAAATTATTTACAAAATACAAAGGGGAAAAAATACCTTTAAAATGGAATTTCTACCTTAACCAAATGATCAAACTCAGCATCACTAACAGTGGGACAACCTGACATTATGTGCTCTCTGATGTGATGCAACTGCAAGGACAAACTATGAGGTATTCTTGCTAGAAAAATTTTAACCTGAATCTAACCTAGCCTTTGGCTAACTCTACTTTACAGGAAATAATTGGGATTAAGGAATAAATAAACAATATATATCAAACAAATCTAGAATGACAGACATTCCACACAACTTCAAAGAGTCAGTACTTTTTTTAAGTGAGGAAACTATACAAAGTTATATGTTAACTATATCTCAATAAACTTGGGTTGGGAGTGAGGAATCTATTCTAGACTAAAAAAACAATCACCAAATGCCACACATAAACTTGTTCCTTGTTTAGCAGAAAAAAGGCAGGTATAAAACATATTCTGAGACAACTCAGGGAATAATGGACCAAATACTAAATTCTACAGTAGAATCAGTTAATTTTGGGGGGGATGATAATGGTATTACAGTTATGCAGAAAAATGTTCTTATTCTTAGGAGATGCATGATGATATATAAGGAGGGAGTGTCATGATGGCCCACAAGTTACTTTGAAGGGAGAGTACACCTGCTAGTTAATAAAATAGGTTATGAAATTATAATAATTCAAAGAGCATAGTACCAATATATTCATAAATAGACAGGCTAATTAATGAAACAATACTATGTCCAGAAACCTACTATAATGTGCTTCAAATCAAAAGGGGAAAAAAGATGGATTGTTCAATAAAGGACGCTAGGTCAAATGACTAGCCATTTAAGAAAAAAAAGTTTATTTCCCTATTTCATTTCTTACACTAAAATAAGTCCAAATGAATTAGGATTATAAGTAAATTTAAGTAAGAAGTAGACAAAACTAATGTCCACTAGGATTACTCTTTGGGGTAGGAGTTGGTGGTAGTGACTAGGAGAAGACATGAAGAAGATAAACTATTGGCACCACAGTGCAAATCAAGGCAGTGACATGGGCGCTATACTGTATTATGCCACACACTCAACAGTCAAAACAAAAATATAGTTTCACGTTAAAATGTGAAAAAATTAGCCTGGCCGGGCGTGGCTCAGCGGTTGAGCGTCGACCTGGGATCCAGGAGATCAGGGTTCGGTTCCCAAGCAGGGCACATGCCCGGGTTGCGGGCTCAATCAATGACTCTATCATCATTGATGTTTCTATCTCTCTCTCTCCCTCTCCTTTCCTCTCTCTGAAATCAATAAAGGTATATTTAAAAAAATAAAAATAAAAAAAATAAAATGTGAAAAAATTATTCTTGCTAAATCTTGATAATTGAAAACACGTCTTTTTAATATCTTGTGTGACGAAATGGAAAATGCACATAAAGCACTTCTGCTGCAAACAGAAGTACAATGCTTGTCCCCAGGAAACACTGCAAGCTGAACTAGTCTCTTTTTTCATGGAACACCATTTACATAAAATAATGACTGACAAGTATGGTTTTCCAGACTTGGATACTTGGCAGACATTTTCTTAAAAATGAACAAAGTGGCCTTGGCTGGTGTGGCTCAGTTGGCTGAATGCTGTCCCATGCACCAAGAGGTGGCCAATTCAATTCCCAGTCAGAGCATATGCCCAGGTTGCAGGCTCAATCATCAGTAGGGAGCATGCAGGAGGCAGCCGGTCGATGTTTCTCTCTCTCTCAAATCAATAAAAATGTATTTTTAAAAAATAAACAAAGTGAGCCTGTCACTACCAATCAACAATATTTGCTGCCTCTGATAAAATTTGAGTTTTCAACAACAAAACAGGAATTTTGGAACACTCCATTCTGCCACCATGAGCTTGACAGCTTTGTTATACAATAAAATAATAATAATATTTGAGTATATAACAAAGTATATCAATATTTGGAAGCTCTGAATACTCAGTGAACCAATATTTTCCAAACAAGCAATATATGATCATACAAAATCTTGCATGGGTAAAAGATACATGCAAAATGAAAGACAGACCAAGATTTTATCCTAACAGAATGGAAAAAGTTATTTATATGGTGTCAGATGTCACTTTACAACTAACCTATAAGAAACTATATCATTTGTCAAGTTAAGTGTAGTATCATAGAATAATATCCACAATTACCTGAAAAAGCCATTAAGTATGCCTATTTTTTCCAACTACACATCTGTGTAAGGCTGGATTTTCTTCATATATGTCTACTAAAACAACATATTGAAAAATAGGCTGGGCATAGATGTACCTTTAAGAATTAAGTTTTGTCTTTTAAAACAGACATTGAAAAGGTTTTTTAAAATGTAAAACAGTTAGCCCTAGCCAGTTTGGCTCAGTGGTTAGGGCATTGGCCCACAGACTGAAGGGTCTTGGGTTCAATTCCAGTCAAGGGCACGTACCTTGGTTGCAGGCTTGATCTCTCCTGCTCCCCAGGTCGGGGCACCTGCGGGAAGCAACCAATCATGTTTCTCTCTCTCCTCCCCCTTCCCTTCCTCCCTCCCTTCCTTGCACGCTCTCTGAAAAGCAATGGAAAAAATATACTCTGGTGAGGATTAACAAAAAAACTAGGATACTACCTTTCATCTACCAGGTGAGCAAGGATAAAAACATTTGATAATAAATGTGTGAGGAATCAGGTACACATGAGCATTGTTGTTTGGAGTGTAACGTTAAAGGGCAACGTATAATTTCTATCAAAGTTTAAATGTATATACCCTTGGACTCAAGAATTTAACCTACATATTTATTCATATATGTATAACTACTATAGAACTATTTACAATTGACTAAATTATGAAAAGTCAAGCAGAAACTCAAAAAAGAATGAACTATATTGCCCAGCCAGTATGGCTCAGTGGTTGAGCGTCGACCCATGAACCAAGAGATCATGGTTTGATTCCTGGTAAGGGCATATGCCCAGGTTTCGGCCTCAATCCCCAGTAGGAGGTGTGCAGGAGGCAGTCAATCAATCACTCCACTCATCATTGATGTTTCTTTCTATCTCTCTCCCTCTCCCTTTCTCTGAAATCAATAAAAACATACTTTTTAAAAAAAAGGAGCTATATGTACTGACATATAAATACCACTATGATATATAACTACATAAACAAGCAAGCTGCAAAAGTGTGTATATCATGCTATCATTTGTGTATAAAAGAAGAAGATACACACCCATACACTTTTCTACTTAAGGAAATACAAGAAACCAGTAATAGTTCTTTAGAAGAGGACGCAATACCATTTTATATACTGCCTTTTCAATAAAAAAAAAAAATAAGAGTGCTGCTTCATAAAGAATGAAATGTGGGCCCTGGCCAGGTAGCTCACTTGGTCGGACGATTGTCCCAATATGCCAAGGTTCAGGGTTCAATCTCTAGTCAGGGAACATGCAAGAAGCAACTAATAAATGCATAAATAAGTGGAACAACAAATCAATGTTTCTCTCTCTCTCTAAAATCAATAAATAAAATTAAAATTAAAAAAAGAATGGTATGTGTGGTCTGAATATGTCATTAGGCTCTCAACTCAAGTCAAGAATAAATATTCTCGCCCAGCCGGGCGTGGCTCAGGGGTTGAGCATCGACCTAGGATCCAGGCGATCGGGGTTCGATTCCCAGTCAGGCACATAAATTGTTCATTAAAGCCCGGTTGTGGGCTTGATCAGTGACTCATCATTGATGTTTCTATCTCTCTCTCTCGCTCTCCTTTCCTCTCTCTGAAATCAATAAAGATATATTTAAAAAAAAAAAAAGAATAAATATTCTAAAATAATTTAGAAAAGCCATGGCTTAGAATTATCAGCATTTCCTCAATGCCCTTTCTGCTTTATAAGTTGAGCGATTTATATGCTATAATTTAATAAAAAGAACAAAAAATAGTTTACTATTTATATTTAATGAAAAAAAGGATAAATGCCAAGTCTAAAACTTAGTCTTGAAGGTTAAAAAAAAAATCCCAAAAGCAGTACATTATCTTATCACCATTTTAATTTTGATCTCCCTCTGTGTAATTCTCACTTAATTTTATATCCATTTTTTTTCAGTGATATTTTAGGAGAACTAAATTTCATATCATCTCTTAACTATTCCTAATACCTGTGGGTAATAGACTGATACATGCATAATTTAAAATTTTGAAGTTAGCAATCCATTTTATCGCTGTTTCTGTTTAAATGTTTAAACTAAGCATACCATAATTTTATTACTAAGACATCCCCTTGCTAAATCCTCTAGTAGTAGTGAACCTAAAATATTAAGCAAATTGTTCATTAAAGCATAAATGACATGTTTACCTGCTGATGCTAAGATGGTACAGTGCAAAGCATGTTTTAAGGCCTCTAGTCTTTCACTTTCGTGCACTATTGTCTTGTAAGAGAGCTCATTGTACCTTTGTGCAGCTTCAATGAATTTTCTTCTATAATCAAGAACACGTGCATAGCATACCTATAGGACAGAAAAGGTTTCAATTAGGGGGAAAATTAAAAAGAAGAAAAAAAAGCGAGAATTTCTAATATATGATAGCATTTATGATATTCTGGAGCACCTTAGTATAATAAGATTCTCCAATATAAAACTAATTCCAAATCAGCTGATCTGTTTACCTTATAATGTATTTGTAACTGTTCATTGGTTGATTCATTCTGAAGTAATGAAGCTCGATTTATGTAAGCCTCTGCCTGCACTGGATCATCATCCTCTAGATATAGCCTAGCAATCTTCAGGTATGTCTCCAGTTTATAATCCACATTGTACTGTCTAGGATATAACAGAAAAAAACAGAATGACTATTTCATCAAAAAAATTATTAGGGGTGGTAGAAAATTAGTTATTTTTTTCCTTATACATATTGTGTTAATATGACAGAATCAAACTTCTTACTGCATTATATTATCGAAAAGCTAAGAAATATTCCCAAAATAAATTTTTATTACTTTTTTTTTTTAATCCTCCCCGAGGATATTTTTTCCATTGCTTTTCAGAGAGAGTGGAATGTCGGGAGGGAGGGATGGGGAGAGAGAGAGGGAAGGAAGGAGGGAGGGAGGTGAGAGAGACACATCCATTGGTTGACTGCAACCCAGGCAATCGAACCCAGGACCCTTCAGTCCGTGGGCTGATGCTCTAACCACTGAGCCAAGTCAGCTAGGGCTATTACTTTTATCATCATTGTTCATATTACATTTTAGCTTCTTCTAATTCTCAGATAATCTAACAAGTCAAAGATCTTAAAAGAAAAATTGCCCAGTTCAGGGATTTATCATATACTACTGGTGGGACTATAAATAAGTACAAACATCCTGGAAGGAAAAATTGGCAATATGTTCTCCAACCATCCTTTAAATTGTAAATACTCTACTCACAATAAAAAGTAGGTTTACAGTTGTGTACATGAAACACAGTTTATTCTTGTATTATGATTCATTAATTATTGTATTATATTTCCATAAGAACAACTGTAAAGCTACTTTTGCCACACCATGTATTTTACCTCTAGAAAATAAATCCCAAGAAAATAACCATGGATGTGCATATATATGTATGTACAAAGATACTCATTTGTAAAATCATCCATAAATATCTGTAATAGGAAAAAATGGAAATCAGCAATTATATTTATGGTAATCAGCTGAGTTGTGGTACACAAAGATGGTAGAATACTACACAGTTATAATAATAATTACTATGTGATTACAGTCATCATGTATTTTAGCTAAGTGAAAAAACTAGATAAAACAGTATGTAAAACACCATTAAAATGTATTTCTACACACATACATCAAGATAATAATAGCAATTATCTCTGGGTGGTGAGATTAAAAGTTTTCATTTCTTCATTCCAGTGGTCACATTTTATGCAAAAAAATGCATAATTGAAGACCCTATATAATCCAAAAACCACATAATTCAAGATTAATCCTCACAGAAAAATTAATCCTATTTACCAACAGAAGTGGTGCCACCATATGGCAAGAACAGAGTTTATAACTCATTAGTCCCAGATTGGAAATTAATTCTTAATAAAATTTTTATACTAATCCTAATTTTTTCCATAAGTCACTTATTAGTAGTATTTTGTACAGTATTAGTTCCATTCACAACTCAAGTTTACATAAACTGCTATAAATAGCACCATACTTTTTAATTTTTCAATTTTATGCCAATGTATCTATAAAAACCTATTACTTTCGACCGATCAGGCGCGGCTCAGCAGTTGAGAGTCAACCTAAGATCCAGGCAATGGGGTTCGATTCCCGGTCAGGGCACATGCCCGGGTTGCGGGCTCAATCAATGACTCTCTCATCATTGATGTTTCTATCTCTCTCTCTCCCTCTCCTTTCCTCTCTCTGAAATCAATAAAGATATATTTAAAAAAATAAAAATCTATTACTTTCATAATCAGAATGAATCATTTTTTAAAGGAAAAATTCTTAATCACTTATCCAAATTCAACTTTTAATCACTTTTACTTTATTTTAATTTATTTAGAAAACAACTAAGTTTCATTTCTTCAGTATCCTCACAATGTTACAGTACTATCAAAATGATAATTACCACCACTGCAAAGAACAATATCTAATTTTATATTTATTTCAACTAACAGTGAAAATAAATCAATTGCTCTGTGATAAGGAGAAAATGCTCCAGACAGAATAAGACCAAAGCAATTAAGAAAGCCAGGCCCTATCAAATTATCAAAGGAAAAAGGAATTAACAAGAGGGCTTAGAAAGCAAAATTCAACATCTACATATGAAAGCTTTTTCATACTGGCTGCTTTTTCAAAGAGCATCACTGCATTTCATATATGCACAAAAGGCAAGATGCCTGAAATAGTATCTGCCTTACCATCAAAAATACTAATGGAGACAAAAAATAAGAATCCCTCATTCACCTAGTAAAAGAGTAGAAGCAGCTGAAAATATTTTTAATTCATCCACAGTTGGTATTTTTATACTTGACAACTGAAAAGGGAAAAGTGTTTAATAATTACAACCAAGAGTCTCACACCTTTCATCCTTCTTGTACAATATATTTTGGACGAATATTTCAGAAAGAACTATAAATGATTTGTGTGTTTTTTTGGTTTTTAGCTGTAAACTGGGTGAATGTTTTTTTAAAATACACATCAAAAGGCAAGATTGGCTGAATAAGAGTTACAAACTGTTGTCTTAATTTTTTCTAATTGTTTTTCTATCTCTAGTATCTTTCTCTCTTATCCCAAACCCAACAAACCATTGAACCCTCTGTGATCTCCAAACCCCTGATTCTATTACATTGTTACTGTCTTCTTCCTCCTCACCTAGCTTGACTCTTTTGGTCAATCATAATTGAATTGCATATGCACTCATCTCCCTTGTCTTTCTCATGCTGTAATACTTATTGGACAAAATCATAACTCTAGTTAAACCGGACAGTTCGCCCACTCCTCTCCTGCAACCATGAAGCTGAACTCTGATGGAGAAAAATTTTCAGCCAATTTGACTAATCTCATTTTAATCACTACAACCTTCAAATTAGCCCTTAATGCTGCCAAGTATACTATACATTCTTAATCCATTTCACTGTCCACTCTCCCAGATAATTTTTTCTCATATTCTTGTCTCTACTCAACCTCACAACTCCTACCCCGAACCACATTTCTAGCTGATGACTCTGATTCCAACTTCACTAAGAATACTGAAGCAATCAAAGAGTAGCTGCACAAACTCCACCACCACATATTAGTATCTGCACCCACATACTCTGTTCCTGGCTATTACTATAGATTACTGAGGGCTATTCTGCCCACCAAGGAATCGGTGGCAATGCCTACAGACATTTTTAAAAATTTATCTTTATTGTTGAAAGTATTACAGATGTCCCATTTTCTCCCCCACTGACCCCCCCCCCCCCCCCCCCCCCCCCCCCCCCCCCCCCCCCCCCCCCCCCCCCCCTCTT